GAGGCCCCGGTGCCCTGCTCTGGGCGGTTCCGGCCTCCGCTCCGGTGAGGCTGCTCCTGCATGTGCTCCTGTTTTCACTTGTGTTGGCGTGCCCAGACCTTTTCCGTATTTTCTTCTTTTTTTCGCCCCCCTTGCTCATGGGGTACCCCCAGAGGGAAAGGGAGGTAGTTGAGGGTGTGCGGAAAAGTTCCTTGTGTAAACAAGGAGGGGAAAAAAAGAAAAGAAAAAAAGAAAGACAGGTTTCCTACTGCTGGCAGTCACCTCCAACAGTTCTGAACAAATTAGCATCGTGTATTTGACTTAACTCTGTGATTTGATTTAGGTCCCCTTGGTGATGTCTGTTTCTCTCTTCTCTTTTCACTGATGCTCAGGGGGTGACAGATGTCCTGTGTGAAGCCTGTGACCAGCTGGGATGGAAGGTGCCGACAAAGATCCAGATTGAGGCTATTCCAGTGGCTCTCCAAGGTGAGCAGTGGGTTTTTCTGATCCCAGCTCTGGGGATGGCCCCGGAGCTCTTACGTGAACGGATTTTACCTAATGAGAAATTTTACTGAATGGCAGGGATGACACCGTTGTCACATCTTCATCGTTGAATATCTCTGTCCAGAAGTAGTCTCTGTGTTCTTTCTTATGTCCTTCCCAGGTGGAACTTGGAATATTGATTTCTCCTATAACGATGCTGGCTATTACAAACTTTCACGTGGGTGCAAATGTGGGTTCTTGAATATTTGCTACCATTGTAGCAAATGACACTCCATGTTAAACAGAATTATTGTTAGTCATTTGACCTGTTAGTCTTCATCGACCATTTTCGTTCCAAAATACTCAAGGATATGGAGGAAATTTCTGATAGATTTAGGACTGTGCCTCTTCTGCTAGAGACTTACAGCATGTGTCTGAAATTGGAGAAACCTTGACTGATTACATAGCTTCTATAATCTGCTTTGCTGTGAGCAGGCAATTCTTTCAAATTAGATTTCTGGAGTGAGTGATATCCAAACCACAGTGACTTTCTCTAAATGTCCTAGGAAAAAAAAAAGACCAAAACCAAAACACCCCAAAACAAACAAACAAAAAACCTAGAATGAAACACTGTGAAGCAGAAACAGTGACAGAATGGGAATAAACTTCCAGTATCTGCTCTTAGTACTTAACTGTTGTCAGACTCTTCCCCTCCATGTATAATATTCTCTTGGAAAACAACAAAAGTAAGATTGCATTCCTGAGAAGTTATCTCCAGTGTAAGGCCTGTTGGCAGCATGTTTTTCTCAGCTGTGGGAGTTTAGGAGGTCAGAATGGATTCTACTGATGAATTCCACCCTGTTGCCTGCACTGTTTTTGGGCAAAGGACTTGCTGTCTTAATCTTCCCTGCTGCAAACTGATTGAATTACTCTCTTAATCAGTGGCACAAAATTGATCGTGGCTTGTGAAATGTGAGTTTGGTAGTACTGTTGGCTTGTAGTTGGTATAACCTAAGTCTCAATCACTGGGGTCTGTTTTCTTAAAAGTCAGTAAACCGACAACAGTTGGTCTAGCATACCTACCCAGATAGAACTAATATGCTGTAAATTGACAGACTGATTTGGGAAATAGTAAAGCTTTCTTTTTCTAACCTAAAGTTTCTGTGAAATCCTGTATATTCGTAGAAATCTGTCTAGACAATGGAAAGGATAGAGACTGTAATTATTGTACAAATGAAGTCACACTGTAAAAGTGCTGCAGAGATATTCTGAAATTCTGTGGTTTGGCCCTTTGTTCTTCTTTACCCTTTGTGTGTTTGGTTTTTTGTTTTGTTTTGTTTTTTCCCTGTCCTTAAGGAATTTGTGTGCTTTATTGTGTAATGCTTTAAAGGCTCATTTTCCTGGTCTGGATTCGTAACAGTTTTTGCCCTCCTTGCTGTTCCTTCTAGGCAGAGATATCATTGGACTGGCAGAAACTGGCTCTGGGAAAACAGGAGCCTTTGCTTTGCCAATTCTTCAAGCACTGCTGGAAACACCTCAGCGATTATTTGCTCTTGTTCTTACACCAACAAGGGAGCTGGCCTTCCAAATCTCAGAGCAGTTTGAAGCTCTTGGATCCTCCATTGGTGTCCACAGTAGTAAGTAGCTTTGTGATATTTGAGCAGTTTTCCTGAAGGCTGAAGTTTGTCAGCTCTGGATTGCAAAGGAAGAAATAGAGTATTTGTATGGAGGGTTGAACAAAAGGTGGGAAAAGCTTGTGATGCTGGAATATAGAGATCTGTTGTGACATTTGATAAAGAAGACTGTATGGTCTTTCCTCATGGAGTTTTCTGCAGTTCTTCTGCACTGTATGTTCAAACGGTTAAATACAGAAGTAAAAGAGAGTCTTCTCAGCAGTAAGTTCGTGTCCTGTGTGATGTAGTTAAATCCTTCCTTCAGACTGTCTGTATTGGTTCTTTAGGTATCCTCTACAAACATAAAAGCTTTGTGGGTATTTTTAGAATTCCTGGATTCTTGCAGCTGAGTTAAGCTGCAAGGAATACATTCTGCCTGTAGCTTTTCAACTGTGAAAATAAAATACCTGGGGCCAGTAAGAACTGTATGGCGTAAGAAGGCTGGGAATATCAGGTGTGCTAAAATAAAGTGAATTCTCATACAGATCAATAGCCTTTCATCTGTACAGAGTTGGGTGACAGGGAGTGAGAGGAAATACTGTGGTGCCAGAGGCTGGCTAGTGCAACACTGAGAGATTCACTATATTCTATTTGTCCTGCAGCGGTTATTGTGGGTGGAATTGACACGATGTCTCAGTCTCTGGCCTTAGCCAAGAAACCACATGTTATAATTGGTAAGTTAACGTGCTGTGGGAGTATGGGATATGAGTATTACCAAACTGCAGTTATCCAAAGAAGTGCCAAAACGTTTTATGCACTTGAAGGAGAAGTGAGAGCATATCCTTCACTTGTTTTTGTCCTGAGAACGGAGTACTGTCTAGTTAATGTTTCTAAAGTATACAGCAGTAGCCTTGCTGCTACAAGTTAATTCCAAAGTATTCCTGCTAGACTGCCTTTGGCTTGTTTTTTTTTTTCTCCTCAAGTATTCAAAATGCTGGTCTCAACCCTCTCAGTACAGCTCATCTGCAGTCTGTCTTATGTTTTTTTTAAGGGGAGAAGGGGAAGGAGGGGATTCTTCGGGGAGTTTGATTCCATTAGTCTTATTTGAAAACATTCTGAAGATATGCTATGAAAGCGTCCTTCCCACAAAGCAATCTGCTTTTACTTCTCTTGGGCAAAAAATTACATTTCTGTCAAGGATGACTCTCTTGTCTCTTTGGATCTTTTCCTTTACTTTCATTCTAATTTTGCTGTCATGATTTTGTTGGTAGCAACCCCTGGCCGTCTAGTTGATCATCTGGAGAACACAAAGGGCTTCAACTTACGAGCTCTGAAGTTCCTAGTAATGGATGAGGCTGACCGGATCCTTAACATGGATTTTGAGACAGAGGTAGGAATCTGCTGAAAGAAGAGTTTGGAACACCAGATGAGTCCCTTTTAGAATTGCTTCATGCAGTCACATAGTAAACTGCTCTTCTGTAGAGATTAATAGCAAATGGTAAAATAAGGAACAAACTGCCCAGAGAGGTTGTGGAATCTCCTTCTGTGGAGACTTTTAAAACCCACCTGGATGAGTTCCTGCCTGGCCTGCCCTAGGAGATCCTGCTCTGTCAGGGGGTTTGGACTAGATGATCTCTAGAGGTCCCTTCAAACCCCTAACATTCTATGATTCTATGATAAGACTTGATAGTTGCACAGAAGTGTATGGTGGGGAGTAGAATTTAGCAGAGTTCTGCAGAGCACTAGCAAGACAGTAGGAGGCGTTTTGTCTCTGAAATATGGTTTCTCTGGAGCACGTGACATTGTGGTGTTAGGACAGTCACACACATTCCTGCAGGAATACTGCCTGACACTTGCCGTGCTGTTGGACTTCTGGAGTTCACACTGCCCGGTTGTCAACAAGCTATCAGCTTACACCTTCCCTTGAGAAGAGGGGCAGTTTGTTCCTACTGTGAGTCTAAATTGCACACATACATTAATCTTTGTTTGGATGATAGTTGTATTTGGAGGAAGCTTACGTCTTGATTGCTGTTGTATTCAGCATTTCCGTTTCCTTTCTATTTTTACAGGTGGATAAGATACTGAAGGTGATTCCTCGAGACAGGAAGACATTCTTGTTTTCGGCTACCATGACCAAGAAGGTGAGAGCAGAGTACTTTGCTTTAATTCCCTTTCGATCAGGCTATGTTGTTCACTAGAGTGTATGATACAGGTTTCTGACAAGATCTCTCTTCACCTAGTACTAACTCATATTGATCTACTCAGGTTCAAAAACTGCAGCGTGCTGCTCTGAAGAATCCTGTTAAATGTGCTGTTTCCTCCAAATACCAGACAGTTGAAAAACTGCAGCAGTACTACATTTTCATCCCCTGCAAATTCAAGGTAACGTCACTTCTGTTTCTTCCCTGTTCTGATTGTGTCTTTTCCTCCTATTCTGATACCTGCCCAGTATCTTCTCGTTTTCTTTGGCTTGTACTTAACACCTTAATATGGCATACGTAACTTTTTTTTGTTTGTTTGTTTCTTTACAGGACAGCTACCTGGTTTATATCTTGAATGAACTAGCTGGAAACTCTTTCATGATATTTTGTAGTACATGTAACAATACTCAGAGGACTGCTCTACTGCTCCGCAACTTGGGATTCACTGCTATTCCTCTCCATGGGCAGATGAGTCAGGTATGGGCATACCCAACAGAATGGAGTAGACAGGAGACCTGTCACTTGGGAAATGGGCTGCGCCATATAGAGTCACAACTACCTTGCAGAAGGGAGTATTTCACAGCTAGTGGACTGGACTGATCCCTAGAAATTTAACTAATGTGAATGCTGCCACTGATTTGGTAATAATTTGAAAAGAAATTAAGAGAAGTGAGATTTTTCTGAGTAGTTTCTCCCTCAGTCTTCGGTACCAGTATTTAGACAAGAGCATATCAAGCAGGATGAGCATTCTCTCATTCCTTTTTTGTCTTCCTCTCTTTCAGAATAAACGCTTGGGCTCTCTAAACAAGTTCAAGGCAAAGGCACGTTCCATTCTTCTGGCTACTGATGTTGCAAGCAGAGGTCTGGACATCCCACATGTAGATGTGGTGATAAACTTTGATATTCCTACACACTCTAAGGTAAGCTAGTCTGTGTGCCAGCTGAGAGCTTCTGGTCACTGAGGAATAGTGAAGCTAAACAAAGGAACACAGACACCTTTTCTCTGTTCTGTGAACTGGAAATCCAGTTCACACTTACGTAGATTAAAAAATGTAGTTCAGCTTCTGTTATTGAGTTGGTGTCTCAGTTCGGTTGAGTGACCTCATCTGGATTGTGGAACTGATCCCGTAAGTGAAGAGGGGAAGTGAGAGGTGTTCTATGTCTTAGTATTTCTGCTCAGAGAACGTGTTTTGCCATATGATATCAAAGGACTTCTAGACTTGGAAAATAGTTTTAATGTATTGCTAGTTTCAGTTAGTCATCTCTGTTCCTGTGATCCAGGCCTGCCTTCACATATTAAACTTTTTTTTAAAAAATTACCTGTTATGTTTGAGGATTGGATCGAGAGATTTCTTGAATGCGTTTCTTTCACCTTAATATCACAAAGGTACCACAGACTGAAAAAAGTGAGTTACTAACTTTCTGTGTTACAGAAAGTATAGTATTATCTTAGAGATGTGGCTTTGTTTCCCAGCCTGGTTTCAGAAAGTACATAATTAACATGCAGTTCAGGAACTGCTATTGTTCCTTATAATGATCAAAGTTACTACATATTACAAAGAGGAGAAAGTATGGTGGTTCATTTGAAGACACTGCTTTTGACATTGTAAAAGAACAGAAGTTTAAAAAAAATGGTAGAAGGCAGCAGCTTGAATGACATAATTATGGGGTTTGTGCCACTCCCTCTCATCTAACCATGTTACAGAACACATCCTTTCTTGTGATGCTTGCTTTTTCCACAGATCTTGCATGAAGAAGGGAGTATTTTAATTTCTGTAATGCAGTATAAAACCTAGAAAGCAGCCTAGCACCATAAAAACAGAAGATGCTCAATAAATCAGATTCTTCCAAATTTTTCTTACTCATCCTCCTTTTCAGTGTGGTTGCCAAATTTCAGTCTCTTTGCCAGAGAGTTTATCTAAAAGGCAGACTATGTAGACCACTAGATCTCAAGACTGCATGGGCAGATACTGACTCAGTTTAAATACTGGCTTTCCAAAGAAGTGATAGTTTGTTAGCAAGACTTGTCCTACAGTCTTGAATAATTGGAGGTGGTCTTCTCCTTTAGAAAGAGAATTCAAATGCTTCCAGAAGCCAGCATCTTCTCAAACCCTGATGCTGTTATTCGGTCCTGAGTATTTAATCGTGACTGTATTTTCTCACTTTTTCTTATTCTTTCCTGAAGAAAAATTATATGGGCTGATTTCCAGTAATTTCTGTTCTGTGTTTGGCGTACGTATCTTGTTACTTATCAAGGAAATTTTTTTCAGGATTACATTCATCGTGTTGGGAGAACAGCTCGAGCTGGGAGATCTGGCAAATCTATCACTTTTGTCACACAGTAAGTATTAAAATGTGGCAGACTTAGTATTCCCATCTGTGTTTCAGAGCAAAAGACATCTGACCTCATCCTAGGTGAGACGAACATACTATTCATTCTGAAGTGCCAGTTGAATTTGTTCAGTTAAAGGGGAGAATGCTCAAAGCCCAGGGTGGGGAGGGAGAAAGTTCTAGATAAATTCTAGAAGCAGGCATGTAAAGAGTAGAAGGTACTGTTGGTAACCTGATTGTATAATATACATACACTTTTACAATATATAAAGCAGGTTAAGTAAGTGTGCTTTTTTATAAGTACTGAAGTATTTGTCAAAAAAAAATCTTTGTCAAATACTTCTGAACAGAGATGAGCTGAATAAATCAGTGAAGCCATTCCAAAAAATGGCATCATTCAAATGTAACTAAGAGTTGCTCCTGAGACCATCAGCACAAGGTAACAATATATGTGGGCTGGAGATAAGGGGTGATGTCTGCAGGTGGTGACAGATGAAGCACTCTCAGGAGATGTCTTATCTTCTCAGGTATGATGTAGAGCTGTTCCAGCGCATTGAACACCTGATTGGCAAGAAGCTGCCAGCATTCCCCATGCAAGAGGAAGAAGTCATGATGCTGACAGAGCGTGTGGCTGAGGCCCAGAGATTTGCTCGAATGGTGGGTGCTGGCTTTTTGTCCCTCTATGCAGTGTCATAGTCCGAATTTCATCAGATATCAGAATTCTTGATCAATCTCTTGATTGTATTGCAGGAGCTGCGGGAGCAGGGAGAGAAAAAGCGATCTCGGAATGATGATGATGACACAGAAGAAGCTATTGGTGTCAGAAATAGGGTGGCAGGTGGGAAAAAGAAGAAAAGGAAAGCCTTCTAGTTCAGGATTTGGACAGACTTCAAGATTTTTCTCTTTATGGCTACGTGAGCTCAGCAAAACCAGTCTATCAAACCATCTCCAGTGGATCTTATTTCAGAACTACCTAGGAAATTGGACAGTCCACACAGAAAACAACTTCCTCTCTTCTGCTTGACCAGTTACGGACTGAATTTGCCTCCTTGTGGCACCATGGGACCAGTCTTCCTTTCACAGACACCAGAACATCATCTCTGGACCTGAAAGCAGCTGTGGTCTGGCCCTGCTCATTCACAAATAGGTGCAGCATGAGTGCAGTTTTCCCACTGTTGCAGCCTGTCACAGTGCCCAAGCTCACTGAGTGCGTTTGGGGTCAGAGAAGTTTGTCAGAAGGAAGAGGGGGAATAGTGAAAATAATGAAATGAGTTCACACAGCACAACTCTGCTGCTTTTGCCTTAGTGAGCAGACGTGTGGTGTGGAGAAGTCCAAATATATTTTGCCTAATTTTAAAGCTACCTGGTTTCCTTGTCTTGTCTGACCTTATCATTGACCTGTTCTTATTTTGAGTATTTATTTGCCTTGCCAGAAGGTTTTCTTCTTAGGTCGATCTTAGTGATTCAGATATGACATCAATACTTTAGACGTATCATCTGAAGAGTGACCCAGGACAGAGAGAACCTGTTTCAGCAGGGTTAGGTTATTCACTACCTGGAATTCGATCCAGAATGATTGACAAGATGAGGTGGAGGCGTTTTAATTGTGGCTGATTCCTGTAGTACTGACAAGCTAACACAAGAGGGTGATATCTACATAGGAAAGCGGCTCATGAACTGACTGGTGAAAAACGGATCTAGCAGCTCTGCTTCCCTATTTATTTCTCTTAGTTCAGTGCGATAGACATAGACTCTTGCAAGAATACTATACATGTGCTTATTTTCATTTCAGACCAGAAGGTTAGTGCTGGGAAACATTGCAAATAAATTTTCATTACTGTCTGTTAGAAAATCTAGTTCATGAGTGGTTCTGTTACATGAAAAACAATGTTCAAAATCTTGTGGGTTTTTTTAAAAACTCTCAATGGAAAGTAAAAACTACTGCAGTAGTCAAGATAAGCACAATGGTTACTTCATAGTGTCAACAAAAATCTAGGTGTGCTAGTCAGAATGCTTTTTATGCTTTTTGAGGAAGCACATTCTGCTAAATTACAAAAAAACCACCATATGGTTAAAACTAAGGGAACATCTTTTAAGACAGCTCTGTTGTCTTCATGAGAAACAAACTACTGTCTGGTGTGAGAAGAGTGCTAGTATTCTTAGTTTTTCTTTTTTTTTAATTCAAATCTGCCAGATACCTTCCAAGTTTGATAGCTTATAAAGTAGCCTAAGACTAAAATAGATAAGTAAGAGTACAGATCTTAGGTATGTTTGACAGCTAAGAGCATTCTTGTAAAGCAGGAAAAGTGCTTCTTCCATGGGTCCTAGTGCAAAGAGTCAGGAGTGGACCCAGTAACAAGAACATATTAATTCTACGGTGCCTTTTGGTAGGAATCCCCATAGGTAAGATGAAATAGGTGTAGAATGCACCGGAAAAATAGGAATAAAATGAGTGGGATGTAAATACTTTTTCTACCTGGAACGAGGGAACTCTTTCAACTGGTTGTCTGTCCTGCTGGATGCTTGGACAAAATTTCTCACTCTTCACAAGCAGGACACGGTTGGTCTCACTATCAGCAAATGAAGATTAAATCCCTGTGAGGGTTCTGGATCTCTGGGAAACGTCTTAGTGTTATTTGTAGCTATGTAATAGGCAGCATGCAGAGCCAGACCTGAACCAAACTTGTAAAATGATGTGAAAGGCAATTTTACTGCTGGAGGAGGTAGGACAGGATCATTCCTTTCAGAAGTAGTATGAGGCTTGCTTTAATAGGTGGGTAGAGTCTCTAGCACCCCTCTATATTCTTTCCTGTGTGGAAAGCTGCAATGACAGAGGTAATGTCTTGTGCCTTGATGGAATTGGAGATTCTCTGTCCCTCTGCAGTTCAAAAATGACAAAAAAGTAGAGCTGTCCCTTGTAAAAGGGTGCAGAGCCTCCTTGAGGAGAGTGACGCCTAGATGTCGGCTGGCCACCTCGCTTGATTTGGAATGACAAACCACAGAAACACTTGGCACTAGAAAAGCAAAGGTCTCACCACACCCACATTCTCACTGGTGCCTCACCTGCCACAGGTATGTGCATTCAATTTCAACTAAAAATATCTCAACAGCTTGGAGAGGCAGGAAATAGTTTCTTACTGTGACTACACCATGAGGGCTAGATCAGAAGTTGTTTGTATAACTGAAGTGGAATAGGGAGTGTCTGAAGATGTATTTGGTCAAAACAGAATCTGCAGCCAAGCTAAAGCAAAATCTGTAGCTTATCTAATGAAACATGAGGGGAGAAGAATGGAGTGAGACCTGTCTCTCTCTGGATGAAAGACAGTTCAGGAAATACCAACCCAAATATGTGTGTGGCTGCATACTTCTGTAAAACAACTGATGCCAGTGTGTTTGTTCAGCCAGGAGGACTCTTGAGGGTCAGTTCTGAACCAAAGCTCGCTACACACCTCTCTTTGCACTGCAGGGTGCTGAAGTGGTGGATTAACCTTAGAGTGACGTAGGGTAGGACTGGGCTAACAAAACCTGATGGTTTTTTGTGGTTGAAACTCAAGCGAAGTTTCAACAAAAGCTGCTTTGTCGAAAGATGTTCGGTGGAGATGTTTTCAGTTTGAAACAATTGTGCACTTCCTAAGTCCGTAAGAAGGTGATTGTTTATATGCTTGTAATACATATTTTAAATAATGTTTTATAGTTTTGATTTTTAGTACTACCTAGGTGACTACCTCAGGCAGTAGAGAATGAGGGATGATAGTGTCATTTAAATGTTCTAGAGCTAGTGAAAGCAAGACAATCCTTTAGAGGGGAGCACTAAAATTAAACATTGATATCAGCGTGGATAATTGACTTCAAGGTAAGTGAGGATAGCTGCAGTTCCTGCAACCACATGGTGGTCCAGAACAGCAGCTGCACTGAATTGAACTGTGTGAAACAGATTTGGTTATCCCAGTTGCCCAGTGCCATGCACCTGCTGCCCAGGGGCTGTAAGGGAAGACATGGCCAAGAAACCACTGCTGAGAACCAACATGGGAAATCCAGGGCTTATTTCTGTGGCAGGTGGCAGCCTGACCCTAAGTCTGCTTAAAATAAAATAATCATGAGGAAGACAGCCTGTTCAAGGACCTGGCAACCTGCCTTTCTGCCCCACCCCCCCAAAAAGTAGAGACGACCAAGAAGGAGAGGTAAGGTTTTGATGACTTTTTAGCAACACCTTTAACTTTTGCTGAGAAGAGACTCAGCTTAGGGGGGAACTCAGTGTAAGAAGTGATTGGAAATCTGGAGGGTCTTAGTTTACAAAGCAGGACAGAAATTAAATATTCCCATTTTAGCCAAGCACTGAGGAAGGCAAATATCCAATGTACTTAGAAGCCCTTGGAAGTACTTAAGAAGGAATGGAATTGATTGTATGACCTGTGAAAGACACAGGTGTGCACGAAGCATTTCGATGTTGTACAAATGAGAAGTTGTGGTTTGCCTGCAATGGCATGCGAGGAGCTTCTGTAAACATTCAAGTGAGCAATTAATTCTTGTAAATGTTGCAGAGCAAATGCTGGTGCCAGAGGTAGTCCATGTAGTCATTCTGAATTCTTACTGCTTTTGCTCTCGCACTTACCAGTAGATTTTTTTGGGGAGGGAAGTGGGAAATGATGAGTGTGTAAACACAGAATCAGAATTTCTGGCAGAAAAGCTTTGGCATTAACTCCTAAGATTTTTTTTTTTTTTTTAAAAAAAAAAAAAAGTTAAAAGACACTTTCTTAGTCTTCAGGTGTTGCGGGTTTTTTTCCTGGTCAGACTATGAATTCCTTCTGAATAACAATATTTAAAAGGGAGAACTAAGGAGCAAAGGATGTTTCATTCCTTTGGCAACTAAGAAGTGGGAGTGTTCACTTGCTTTCTGTTGCAGGGATGACTACAGCCATGCCTCCAGTACTGTATCTCTTCCTGAGGACTCTTCAGATATGAAACTTGTGATGATAATATCAGTTCCAAAGTCCCTCTGGGACACAGGTATGTACCTTCCTGAACATGATAATCAAGTATATGTCACATTTCATGGTAGGACGTGTGTTGGACTCTGCCAAGGTCATGCCTAGTTGTGCAATAGGAGACAGTAGCACTGTGCAGTCTTCAACTGTTGACACTGTAGGTCCTCAGGGAGGGGTGGATGCCCTTGGAGCTTGTTCAGCACTTTTTCAGGGAAGTATCTAGAAGCCTGAAGCTGTGTTTGCCAGAGATTAACACAGGGTAATTTTGCATGCCCAGAGGGAAGAGGATTATTTTTTATCTTTGCCTTCTCTGCTGGAGGATCCTCATCATTGTGGAGATGTACGTGCTGCTCTGTTACTTCTCTATGAAACAAAGTCTAAGAAGAGGACTCTGTCATGCCCTCCCTTAGGCTCAGTGCTTGCTAAAGGTTCCTGAGAGAAGGGAAGTGCAATGTGGGCTTTCCATGCAAAAAGGAGGAAAAGTTTTTTTGTCCAACTAAATCTAGCAAAAGCAGAAAAAGAATGCTGTTCACAGGCCTCTCACAAAGAATATCCTTCTGTCCATGACTTCTTTCTCCCAATTTGATATTGTCAAGGAAAGCAGATTTTTTGGCATGTGTTTTCCCAATTGGTCTGATTTAAATCCCCTTTAATCCTCCTGAAGATTTTCACCCACAAACACGTCTCTATGTAGAGAAAGTCAAATAGAAAAACTTGCTCTGCAAGTCATCTGTGCAAGGTAGAGGAAGGATTGCACAATAGGTTTGGATGCTGGCTTTCCACAAGAAAATTAGTCTTTCACATGATTTTTTTGTTATACATCTGCTCAATCCCATGAAATTTCTTGGCTTTTAT